GATCTTTAGTTATCACTAGAAGGATCACCCGCAGGAGGAAGGAGGTCCTGATTCTTCTATATAGATCTTTAGTTATCACTAGAAGGATCACCCGCAGGAGGAAGGAGGTCCTGATTCTTCTATATAGATCTTTAGTTATCACTAGAAGGATCACCCGCAGGAGGAAGGAGGTCCTGATTCTTCTATATAGATCTTTAGTTATCACTAGAAGGATCACCCGCAGGAGGAAGGAGGTCCTGATTCTTCTATATAGATCTTTAGTTATCACTAGAAGGATCACCCGCAGGAGGAAGGAGGTCCTGATTCCCCTATATAGATCTTTAGTTATCACTAGAAGGATCACCCGCAGGAGGAAGGAGGTCCTGATTCTTCTATATAGATCTTTAGTTATCACTCGAGGGATCCCCAGCAGGAGGAAGGAGGTCCTGATTCCCCTATATAGATCTTTAGTTATCACTAGAGGGATCACCCGCAGGAGGAAGGCATTCCTGATTCCTCTATGTAGATCTTTAGGCTGGGTTCACACCTAGGCGTATCGAATATGCGCGTTTGTCGTGCGTTTTGCGGTAAAAAATCGCGCAACAAACGCGCGTTTCCGAGGGCTACTTGGCTGTATCCCAATGGAAACGCGCGATAAAAACGCCCCAAAGAAGCGTGTACTTCTTTGGGCGCAGGGCGTTTTGTAGCACGTTCAAACGGCCTCTAATACGCCCAGGTGTGAACCATACCCATAGGAAATAATGGGATTTCGGTGTTTGAGCGTTTTGCAGAGCGTTCGAACGCGCTACAAAACGCCCAGGTGTGAACCAAGCCTTAGTTGTTACTAGAGGGATCCCCAGCAGAAGGACGGATGTCCTGATTCTCCTATATAGATCTGTACCTGTCACTAGAGGGATCACCAGCAGGAGGAAGGAGGTCCTGATTCCCCTATATAGATCTTTAGTTATCACTAGAGGGATCACCCGCAGGAGGAAGGAGGTCCTGATTCCTCGATATACCGGTAGATCTTTAGTTATCACTAGAGGGATCACCCGCAGGAGGAAGGAGGTCCGGATTCCCCTATATAGATCTTTAGTTATCACTCGAGGGATCACCAGCAGGAGGAAGGAGGTCCTGATTCCCATATACTGTACATGCCTGGCACACAGATCTATATCCACACAAAAAGGTTAAAAAAAAAAAACATTGTAAAAAAATGAATCAAACAAGGGGCAGGCGCGATGGACAAATGGACTTTTTCTGCCATCACTCTTCTATGTTTCTATAACCTATAAATCACAATAAAGGTAATTATTAGGAAGGCTGAATTGTGTAATTATCCCTAATGAGGTTTGTGATGCTGCCAAGTACACCTAGTACCAGGGGCCTGTTCTCAGGATCGTAGATCACAGCGCTCCGTGACCGGTCTGAGGTGGGAGGTTACTGTGACCCCCAGCGATTTACACTTTTGATTGGCTGCTGTAGTGACAAGGTGATTCAAGAAAGTTAGGGAGTGAGCCTTTCATGTCACAAGCATGTTGATACATTATATCTAAAGCCAATTTATTTTTCTTCCCTTGCTTTGAAAATATTTTCACTCACTTCCTTTTGTGTCTACAGGACAGGAAGTGAACGGTAATCACTACGATGGGGCACAGAAACTAAAAAAATTTTTAAAAACCCACCAGGCAGGGGGTTTTAACTTTTGCCTACTCTATCCAAAATGAGAAGAAAACATTTTGACTTTAGATATATATTTAAATGATATTTAAAGCCAAAACTATTTGTTCATTAGAAATCGTTAGAATTCTCTATTTATTTTTTGCTTTCTGTGAGGACTCGTTGACACCATAGCACACATGGTGCACATTTCTTTTTTACAATTTGCAGCATGCGGCTTTTTTTTAAAACATTTTGTTGAGACTTTATTCAAGTAACATCACTCCAGTACATTGTGACGCATTGTAGCGCCTTTGGAACGTGCTGCACTGTCGGAAAATGCTACACGTCCTATTTTTTTTTTTCCTGCACTTTGTGTGAACCGGACTCATAAGACATAAGGCCCCGTTCACACTGAGTAGTTTATCGCGCGATTTCCGCCGTGAAATCGCGCATATTTCCACGCAATATCGCTCTATGTAGCTTGTCCAATGCATTTCAATGGAGCTGCTCACATCTCACAGCTCAATGTCGCCTGTAGCTCGTCGCTCAAGCGTGACGCTCGTTCATGACCCTTTTTTCCGACCCTTTTTTGATTCGGCTCCAATAGACTGTATGGTGTTGCGCAAAATCACGCATTACCGGCGATATTGCACGACTTTGTCGCGCCATATCGCGCTACAGAAGGGTCACTTTTGCACTGCAAAATGTAAGGAAAGAATGATGTCACATCAAGATCTCTGTTGATTGGTTACAGCCCAATGTAGCAGCGACGAAGTCCCCCCCAAAAAACGTGCTATGTACAACGATAAAATGTGCACTGTCGCTCAATGTAGCTCAAAGCCTCTCAGCACGAAATCGTGCGGAAAAACACGCGATATCCATGTCGCTCAGTGTGAATGGAGATCTAAGGCAAATTGCTTTGTTCGTGTGATGGCCAATGCAGCTTAATGCAGCCCAACGCTGCTGGTGTGAACAAGCCGTCAGGGCCGGTTCCCACCTCAAACTCCACGTTCCAGTGCGTTGGCCTCTGGAACGCAAGCTGGCCGGCTCCCTGCGTTCAGGGGCGGGAGGGGGCATGGCGGTGCATTGAAGTCAATAGCACAGCAGCCACTCCCTCCGCCCGCAGTGCAATCGCCCGCACCCGGATTGTGGTACGTGAAGCGTTCTGCAAAAATACTGCAAGCACTATGGGCAGGTTCACACCATTTTCTGGACCAGATCCGGAACGCAGTTCATTGCAATTTGCTGCGATTTTGCCGCGTTTGGATTTTTTTTTGCTTAAAATGGTCCTACAGGTGCGTTCCAGTGCGCTTTTGATACGTTCCAGTGCATTCCAGACCAGACAAAATAGGACAAGCAGTATTTTTCTGGTCTGGAACAGACAACGCTGGTGTAAACAGAAGCCAGAAATAGCATAGGGATATATTAGGATGCATTTTGGGTCCGGAAGCAGTCTGGTCTGGAGACGATCCGGACATGGTGTGAATGGGCCCTATTTTTGCAGAACGCAATGGACTGGAACGCAAACACTAATGTGCCTGCGTTACAGGTGCGGTCAAACGCACTGCGGGCAGGGGGCGTGGCTGTGGTGCTAGAGGCCGAACGCACTGGAACGCGGAGTTTGTTGTGTGAACCGGTCCTTAGGGTAGATTTACCATTACTTCCTGTCCTGAACTCAAAACAGGAAGTGATTGGAAGTCTCTCCAAAGGGAGGGGAAATCTCCTCTCAGTTGTCTACAGAACAGATATATGCCCAGCACAGGAAATGTCAAACCCTTCCGATAATGATACCCAATGTCCGAGACTAATGAGGGGCGGTCCAGAAGGACTCAGATGTACAGTTCTGTGTCATATACAAATATATCAAAAGTATAACGACAAAACAGAAACATTTGTTGCTATTTGGTTCTGTGTTGTGTTGCTGATTGCAAATCTACATCACACCTGTTTACTTGCTGCGTGAATTGCGTGTACTTTATACCGAGTACTCATCTATTTACATTTTAACTTACAATTTCCATTATCTATAGTGTGCGAGTGTATGATCAGCACACGTCTGTCTTATCACTGCACTTCTGTGTGTTACCTTATTAATGCCACACATGCTTGCATCATCAAAGGGAACCTGTCATAATATAGAAGCTGCCACAACTGATCTGGTTTAAAAGTTCAGGCTTCGGGGTGGAGGCAATTCTCATTCTTGCTTCACTGTTGGGCAAGACATGGGGGGGTGGGGAATTGTACATCACTGTTAGGAAAGTGACATGTATAACCTGAGTTCAGGAAGATCATTGTATGCATGGAGACAGATCAGTGTACACACACTACAGGCCGATCAGTGTATGCATGAAGACAGATCAGTGTATACACACTACAGGCTGATCAGTGTATGCATGAAGACAGATCAGTGTATACACACTACAGGCTGATCAGTGTATGCATGAAGACAGATCAGTGTGTGACTGCAAACCTGCGAGTGCAGTAAAATAATTTACAGTGTAGGTAGGGTCACATGGTGACAGATCAGTGTATACAAAGTGCAGTCAGACTGGTGCACACATGAGGAAAAATTAGTGTATATACACAGTGCAGTCAGATGGATGTATGGGTGGAGATTTATTGGTGTATGATTGGAGAATGATCAGTTTATAATTGGAGATTGATCGGTGTATGCACAGTGAAGTCTGATCATAGATCGGTGTATACACAGTGCAGTCTAATCCTAGATCGGTGTATACACAGTGCAGTCTGATCATAGATCTGTGTATACACAGTGCAGTCTGATCATAGATCGGTGTATACACAGTACAGTCTGATCATAGATCGGTGTATACACAGTGCAGTCTGATCCTAGATCGGTGTATACACAGTGCAGTCTGATCATAGATCTGTGTATACACAGTGCAGTCTGATCATAGATCGGTGTATACACAGTACAGTCTGATCATAGATCGGTGTATACACAGTGCAGTCTGATCATAGATCTGTGTATACACAGTGCAGTCTGATCATAGATCGGTGTATACACAGTACAGTCTGATCATAGATCGGTGTATACACAGTACAGTCTGATCATAGATCGGTGTATGGTTGTAGACTGATCGATGCACACAGAGCTGCTCAGAGATTACAATGTACATACAATGTATCCATGTCTTACACACAGAAAACTCTGCACACTGACACTTTAGGCCTTTTACAGAAGTTTTGCAACTTCCTCTGTGCGTGCTGTCACTGACAGGTTGTAGATCGGACCCTTTCAATGCCGGGTGCCATCTCCGTGCCCTCTCTGCCCCCTCCCCCATCCACTGCCCGGGGGGGCAATGAATGCAATGACAGGCAATGATTGTTCTCCTTACCCCAGGGTGCTGATGAATCCATTGACAGAGCCCTCCGCATAGAGGGACACGATGTCCCCGATGTATAAGAAGCTGGACATTTTATCGGGCATCCTCACTCCGCCGGCAGTGGCGCCCCCTACAGCCAGGGCATGGTGCAGTAGCCCAGATCTCCGGACCCCGATAGCCCCACGTCAGTGAGAAATCGGCGAGTGACCCCTGAGAGCCCCCGAGCGGTGCCAGAAGAACTCCTCACATGCCAGGAAGGTGCCGGTAGGGGCCCCCAGTATATAAGGGGTCTCCTGGGGGAAGTAAAAGGGGCTCTCCTGGGCAAAGTCTCCGGGATGTCCAGGTGTCTCCGGCCAGGTTGGGCACCAGTTTCCACAGTCCCCGGTGTCCCTGGTCCGCCCGGTGTCCTCCGGTCACAGCTCTTTCTCTCTTCTCCCCCTTCTCCGGCTGCCACAACTTCCCCGGTCCGGACTGCTCTCTGGCACTGGGCGGAGCAACTGGAGCCCACCGGCCAATAGGAGGACCGCCTGGAGGAAGAGGGCGGGGCGGAGAGGGGACTGGAGGAGGTGAGCGAGGGACTTCATTCATCATGGCAAGAGAGTGGGACTACCTGAACTGGACTATTCTGTACTACAACAACAATCATCTACTACAACTACCATCATATACTACAACTATCTGAATTGTTATATACGACTACAGTCCGATAATACCAGGACTATTATATACTACAACTACCATCATCTACTACAACTACGTGAACTGTTACATATACAACTACAGTCCTATAATACCAGGACTATTACATACTACAACTACCATCATCTAATACCAGGACTATTATATACTACAAGGACCACTGTATACTATCAATATATAATACAAGGGTCACTGTGTACTACAACTATCGTCATATTCCACAACTACCATCATATATACAACTACCTGAACTGTAATATATAACACCAGTCCTATAATACCAGGACTATTATATACTACAAGGATCACTGTATACTACCATCATATAATACAAGGATCACTGTATACTACCGTCATATAATACAAGGATCACTGTATACTACCATCATATAATACAAGGGTAACTGTATAATACAACTACCATCATAAAATACAAAGATATTATACTACAAGAACCACTAGTGTTATATTCTGTACCAAGGACTATTATATAAAATAGGAGTGCAATGCAGGTACACTCTACTATGAGTTATATCATATTTCCCATAGTGTACTGATGACCTATCATATACTATATAAATATATCATGGTATACTATGGACCAGAGGATACTGAAGGGGTATTATACTGTATATGGTAATATTTCTATTATCTACTATAGAGGTGTGTTTGTGTTATATACTACACTAAAAGCTGAACAAGGACATTATAAAGTGTACTTTGGGCTATTGTATTATAAAGGAGTATTATACACTGTATCATGGACTGTTTTATATACTCTAGGAGTTTTTAATACTGCAGTATAGATGATAATATACTACGGAAGTGTTATACACTGTAATATGGAGTATTGTATTATATATAAAGTATTATATACTGTAGAGTTTACCATGAGGATATATTATATCTGCACCTTTGTCTCGCAGTATTCTGTGCTGTACTATGAAATGTTGTATACCACAGGAAGTTTATATACTCTGCTATGTACTATAAGAGTGGAGTGTTATGTGCATTATATAAAGTATTATGGAGTGTTTTATATTATGGAAGCATTCTATAGTACTGCACTGTGGGATTTTATATATTATATGAGTGTATTTGATACTTTACTAGGGTGTATATTGTGCCATGAACTGTTATATATTATACAAATGTATGACTGAGCTGTGTCAAGTAGTATAAATACTCTGGATGGAAGGATTCTATACCATAATCAGGAATTCTGGCTGTGACTGTATTATGTCCTGTACTGTAGAGGTTTAAGGTGCCCATATACTGTACGATTCCCGTATGAGAATCGCGGGAAATCCAGCGATCGTACGATAATCGTGCAGTGTATGGAAGGCGTGCGACCAGTTCTATTGTACGGTCACACGTCTTCAGTCGAACAAGCAGTCTTGAAAACCCGCCAAGAATCGTACGATTCTCGGCAGGTTAGTGGCCTGCTGGTTCGACAACTGCCGAACGGGCCGGTGTGCGCACGCTGCATGTCCACGCTGCATGTGCGCAAACGTGCATGTCCACAGTGTTAGACTGACAGCACTGGTGTAGAGCTTTGATTGTCTCAAAGTACTGCTCCCTCTCTGCTCCCAGTGCTGCTGTGCAAGGGATTGCAGGAGACAACCGGAAAGAGACATTAAGGCACTTATGGTAGTTCTTTCTAAAATACAATGGGGGGGATTTATCAAATCTGGAGCAGCTGTGCATGGCAACCAATCAGCTTCTCTCTTCAGTTTGTTCAGTTAAGATTTGAAAATGAAAGAGAGAAGCTGATTTCCACGCTGCATGTGCGCAAACGTGCATGTCCACAGTGTTAGACTGACAGCACTGGTGTAGAGCTTTGATTGTCTCAAAGTACTGCTCCCTCTCTGCTCCCAGTGCTGCTGTGCAAGGGATTGCAGGAGACAACCGGAAAGAGACATTAAGGCACTTATGGTAGTTCTTTCTAAAATACAATGGGGGGGATTTATCAAATCTGGAGCAGCTGTGCATGGCAACCAATCAGCTTCTCTCTTCAGTTTGTTCAGTTAAGATTTGAAAATGAAAGAGAGAAGCTGATTGGTTGCCATGCACAGCTGCTCCAGATTCTGTCTGCCCCAGTGTTGATACATTTCCCTCACTGAATTATATGCATTAAAGTCGTATTAAACTCTCAGGGCTCCTTTACACCAGCCCGTGTGCTCTTTGCACTGGCCCGTGCCTTGAACATGTGCCTTGCGTTTTGGGGCGGGGCAGTGCGATGAGCGCAGGGGCTCGTGTAAACGATGCCCTAAAACTGTTTTTCAATAATGAATCCAGATCAATAAATATATATTGCCTACCAAAGTATTTCTTTATATATCAATGATGTCAGCTGCTTCCAAGTCTCTCAGCTAAGCTTCCCTGAACTTCCTGTCCAGTACAAGATCACATAGGACAGAGCAGTCTACAGCAACTGCTCATCCACAAGCGTGGGGAGGGAGGGAGGAGGAAGAAGCAAGGAGAAGGGCAGTAGCTGTGCCTGTGTGTTTGTGGAGACACACACACAGCTTACTAAGTAAGCGTTAAAACTCTGACAGTGTATTTACTGCTATCTGTGTCTCATTTAGGAGGTTTCCCTTCACTTCCTTTCACAAGGACACAACAGGAAGTTGGAGAAAATCTTTACAAAGCAAGAGAAATTTCCCTTTTAGTTGTCACCAGAACAGGTGTCCTCATTGGAGGCTTTTTCCTCTCTTTTTGTTCTGTGACAATTTTTTATTTTGTATCACTTCCTGTCCCAGCGGTAAGGAAATGGAGCGTGTACATCATTCCAGCAGGCGGCACACAGACGGCAATATAAATCTGACAGAAACTGCATCCTCTCAGCTAAAGGCCAAGCTGGACTTTTATAAATGACCCCCAGTCAACACCCCCAGGTGTTTAGTTCAGGGATAAAGGATGGGGGGAGCTGGTTTATAACAGGCAGATTTATACTACACAGTATATAGAAGATTCTACCTGGCCAGGGCCCTATAGCACAGCCTCAGGGTTCTCAGCAAAACTAACGATAATTATAAACCTATAATTATCACTATAACTGATTGTTCTGCTGCAGGGGAAGATAATCTGAAAGACGGTTCCGTCAGGGTGAGCTCCCTTACATCAAGTAAGCTCTCCCTTAATTTATCCAAAATTAAAAATAAATCAGTTTCACTTTTACTTTAAGACACATTCTAGTGATAATACTGTAATTACTGTCTCATGCTGGGCACACACCTTACAACCATTGCAAGACCTTTGTCTTGCGATGGTTGTAAGGTAATTAAAAAAACTTACGATCTGCCTATCTTGGACAGGCAGATCGTACTTGTGATGATCGCAAGCCGCGCACCCGAGGGGCGGGCTTCCGATGACCGCAATGCCGAACGGGCAGTGTGCGCTTGCGCACACCGGCCCGTGCGGCTTTTATCTTGTGAACATGCCACACACCCGCCGACAATCGTACTTTTCTCGCCGGGTTTTCAGACATGTTCATAAGATAAAAGTCATGCGACCTTACAGTAGGAGAGGTCGCATGCCTTTCACACACCTTGCGATAATCGTACGATCGCGGGGTTTACCCGCGATTATCGTACGATTATCGCAAGCTGTGTGGGCACCTTTAGTCTGGTGTGGTTCCTGCTGTAGGCTCTGTGACCGTTACATTGATGTGAGCCAGAGAGTTATAACCCCGGTCTTCTGTATCCCATTGGGGAAATTTCCTTTCACTTCCTGTCCAATAGCCACAACAGGAAGTAAAAGGAAATCCCTTTCACCAAGGGGCCTTGACTATTTCCCACCCAATTAAAAGCTAACACAAAAAAAAGTTTTTGCTTTACATACACTTTCAATTATAAGTTCAATAGATAACACCCTTTCGAGCCACAACACCCAGCTGGCTTTAAGGCAGTTATAGACAATGGGCGACATTAGGGTTGCCACCTTTTCTTCAAGTGAAACCCGAACACTCAGGCGACGTGCAGACATTTTTTGGGGAGAATGAGTGGTGGCTTATTCATAGGTATATAGCGCTGCCCATTTATATGTTAATATCACAGTTGAGACTATTTTCTTTGGGGGGCCAGTAGACCCTATCTTAATTTTGGTTGCCCCTGTCTGCCTGACATCTTGTGTCCGGGTTTCTGCTCTGATTGTTCTGCTGCAGGGGAAGATAATCTGAAAGACGGTTCCGTCAGGGTGAGCTCCCTTACATCAAGTAAGCTCTCCCTTAATTTATCCAAAATTAAAAATAAATCAGTTTCACTTTTACTTTAAGACACATTCTAGTGATAATACTGTAATTACTGTCTCATGCTGGGCACACACCTTACAACCATTGCAAGACCTTTGTCTTGCGATGGTTGTAAGGTAATTAAAAAAACTTACGATCTGCCTATCTTGGACAGGCAGATCGTACTTGTGATGATCGCAAGCCGCGCACCCGAGGGGCGGGCTTCCGATGACCGCAAT